TTTTGGCGCGATTTGTCAACCGACCAGCTGCGATTCGGCATGGCAGTCAACGGACCAATCAACTCTCTTCATTTGCGGGTTCGAGGCATGACCCTTTTGGCCAGCTTCACTCCGACCCAAATGCACCTGACGACAGGCATTGGCGACGAGCAGCTGTTGAAGCCTTGAATCGGCGTCGAGTCGGGGCTCAATCGGTCGACTCGGTCGACTCAATCGCGTCCGAGTCTAACCGACACCCCGACGGGACTCGAAGCCAGTTCGTGCGTGTCCAATATCTGATAGACACACCCACACACACACACACTCCCAGAAGCGAGGTAAATTGGCATTTTGCATAAAAGGGTTGAAGGAGGTGATTGTAAGTAGAGCCCGAAGCGGCCGGGTTCAAGTAAAGTCGCGACTCGTCCTGAGGCCTGGCAACGGGGCTCATGGACGGTGTCCAGCCGCAACGCATTGGCCGCCGACCGGCGTTTGTCTTCTCGTCGTGCAGTCGTCCAGCATGTCCGAGTCCCGTCGCCCAGTTTCGCCTCGTCCGACGGCCCGACTCTGGCTTGCCGTGCAACATTGCTGCTGCTGCTACTACTACTACTACTACTACTACAGCCACCATCACTATTGCTATTTTTATTTTTTTTTAATTATAAATAGTATTAGTAGTATAAGTAGTATCACCGTATTATAATCGAGCTCGAGTCGCCTTGACTACTTACCGTTAAACTCCGCTACTACTAATACCACCGTTATTATCAGTATCATTATTATCATTATTAATATTGTGACCATTCGCCTATTACTACAAATAATAATGGTACCAGTCTTATTAATATTAGTATTTCTGATGGTGGCATGTCCGAGTCCCGTCTCACGGAATCGTCTCGTCCGACGGCCCGAATCTGGCTTGCCGTGCAACATTTCTGCTGCTGCTCCTATTACTACTACTACAGCCACCATTACTATTGCTATTATTTTATTTTTTAAAATTATAAATAGTATTAGTAGTATAAGTAGTATCGTGAACATTCGCCGCATTATAATCGAACTCGAGTCGCCTTGACTACTTACCGTTAAACTCCGCTACTACTAATACCACCGTTATTATCAGTATCATTATTATCATTATTAATAATGTGACCATTCGCCTATTACTACTAATAATAATGCTACCAGTCTTATTAATATTAGTATTTCTGATGGTGGCATGTCCGAGTCCCGTCTCACGGAATCGTCTCGTCCGACGGCCCGAATCTGGCTTGCCGTGCAACATTTCTGCTGCTGCTCCTATTACTACTACTACAGCCACCATTACTATTGCTATTATTTTATTTTTTAAAATTATAAATAGTATTAGTAGTATAAGTAGTATCGTGAACATTCGCCGCATTATAATCGAACTCGAGTCGCCTTGACTACTTACCGTTAAATTTCGCTACTACTAATATCACTGTTATTATCAGTATCATTATTATCATTATTAATATTGTGACCAGTCGACTACTACTAATAATAATAATGCTACCAATATTATTATTATTAGTATTTCTAATGGCGACATGTCCGAGTCCCGTCGTACTGATTCGCCTCGTCCGACGGCCCGACTCTGGCTTGCCGTGCAACATTGCTGCTGCTGCTACTACTACTACGGCCACCATCACTATTGTTTTTTTATTTTTTTATATAAATAGTATAAATAGTATAAGTAGTATCGTGAGTAGCCAAACTCGATTTGGCGCCCTAGGGACTGAGAGTCGCCTGGACTACTTACCGTTAAACTCCGCTACTACCAATACCACTGTCATTATCAGTATCATTATTATCATTATTGTTATTGAGACCAGTCGCCTCGTTACGATCGGCCTCGATTTATGCGACTAGGAACCGAGAGTTCCGGGCAACTCTGCTGCTGCTACTACTACTAATGCTACCAGTATTATAAGTAGTATTATTTCTGATGGTGGCAGTAGTATTGACGATATTATTGATAGTGCTATTAGTATCTGTCGTTGTTGTTGTTTTTGTTGTTGTCGTCCAGGTCGACGTGGCGGCAATACGAATTGGCGCCATAAAAGGTCTGGCCAAAGTGAGGTTTTCCCGATTGGCTGGGTTGACCTGTTCAAAATGGCGCAGCGGGCGAATCGATTGTGCAAGTGGAACAAACACATTTTGGCGCCATGTGCTGGCGAAGAGAGGACACAAAGAAGCGGCGCCAAGCGTGAGCAGATGATTGCGCCGCCGGCGG